ACAAATAACAACAAATATAACTACATGAACTACCCCAACATATTATCACTACACATAGTGATTATTTTTCTTGTTGAACTGTCAGGTTAATTTTTAACTTTTTACATATTAAAACAGTTGAATCATGTCAAGATCTGCAGAAGACCTTGCATGGCAACATGGGGTCAGACTTGATCCCAACAAAAAAGGCAAAATTATTTGTAATTACTGCCAAAGAGTGATAAGTAGTGAGGTACATAGGTTCAAGCAACACTTGGCAGGGGTTAAGGGAGATGTTTCTGCATGCAGTAGTGTTCCTAGTAATGTAAAAAAATAGATGGCGGCATTTCTTAGTACTCACAAAGGTAAAAAAATTGTCAAACATAGGATGAATGAGGAGATAGCTAGTTTATATATACCATCAAGCATGAATGATACAGAAGAGCAAGATAATAATGACTTAGAAGAGCAATATAATAATGACCTGGACATAGCCATAAGAATAAGTTTACATGAACAATATCAGAGGGAACGTGGGTTTAAAATGCCCAGTGGGTCTAGCTCAGACGTGCATGATGGGTCTAGCTCAGACATGTATGATAGGCCCAGCTTAGACATGCATGGCGAGCCTAGGTCGAGCATGTATGGTGGGCCCAGCTCAAATATATATGGAGGGATTGGTGGCAATATGTATCAACAAGAATCAAACGTTGAAGAAATAGTTCATAACTTATATAGGAGTGTCAGTATTGCAGGTCATGGTCATATAGACCCATTTCTCTCAAAGCCTAAGTCACAACAGATGACTCTAAAAGGCATGGTTAAATGTACAAGAAACATGTTTGGGAGATATGTCGGTAAATGATTCTACGATAAAAGGATTCCCTTTGATGCAGCCAATAGCTCATATTTTCCACTTATGGTCAGTGCAATCCAGAGAGCCTGGCCCGGGGTAAAACCCTCGACGACATATGAGCTCAATGGGCCAATATTAGATGAAAAGGTGGAGGAAATTACAAAGTGGATTGAAGAATATAAACAGAGTTGGCCAAGGACATGCATTACTCTCATGAGTGATAGTTGGTTGAATAAAGTTAACAAAAATGAGTTTTTAAACTTCTTGGCCTATTCCCCAAAAGGTACAGCTTTTTTATATAGCAAAGACATATCAGGAACGAAGAAGGATGCAAACTTCTACGTACGACTATATGATCAGATCTTAGAGAAGGTAGGAGATAAGCATGTAGTCCAGTTTATTACGGACAATGTACGTGCATGTGTTTCTGCGAGCACCAAGTTGATGGAGAAGATGAAGCATTTAGTATGGACCTCATGTGCTGCACACAGCATCGATCTTATATTAGAGGAGATCGGTGAGATCAAAATTGTGAAGGAGACTCTAGAGGAAGCAAGGTTGGTGTCGAGATTTATATACAACCACTCTAAAATATTATTTCTGTTTAGAGAACACTCTAAGAAAAAAGAGATAATCAGGCCTGCCATAACCTGCTTTGCGACCGATTACTTAGCTGTGAACTCCATTCGGGAATTTGAAGGTGCCTTAAAGAGATTGTTTACTTGTGAAGAGCGGTTAAATGATTACCTCTCGAAGTCCAGTACCGATATAAAAGTGGATGACATAGTCTCAAATAGCAGGTCCTAGTCTCGATGTTCCAGTGTCTTAGAAGCCACTGCCCCTTTGGTCACGGTGTTAAAAATGGTGGATGCTGACAAAAAAGCTACCATGGGCATCCTTTATGAAGGTATCGAAAGAGCGAAATCAGCTATTGGGGAGAAATGTAGTTTTGTTCGCAAAGTGATAGAGATTATGGAACGGAGGTGGAACACCAAATTTGGACGTCCAATTCATTATGCTGGTAAATATATATTTATATCATTAGAATTTTTCATTTTAAATCATTTTTTTATGAAATTGTAAATGACATTTTTTTATCTATAAATTTTATAGGTTACTACTTCAACCCAAAATTTTTCTATTTGACACTTGAACATCCCTACAAGATTATGGAAGGGGTCAGATACATTATTGCAAGGTTGGAGAGAAGCCAGTGAAACCAAGTAGCAGCAATACAAGAGGTATTATTTAATGTTTGGGTAAGAACCTTATTGAGTTGTTATATTTGTGAGGAATAATGCACTAAAACGAAATATATTTGTCTTAGCTTGCTATGTATAGGGATGCTATAGGATCCTTCGGAACTAGATTTGCCAGGAATTTTCGAACTAAGATGGATCCAGGTTATCCCCTAGCTAATATTTTGTTCATTCATATATTTAATCTTATGAATTGTTCTTGCCCTTACAATACTTTTTGCATTTTAATACAGCTGAATGGTTGGAGATATATGGTGCTGATGCACTTCACCTAAAGAGGATAGTAATCAAAGTGCTCTCCTATACATGTTTTATTACTGGCTGTGAGCGCAACTGGAGTACGTTCCAATTGTTGCACACTACTAGGAGAAATCGACTCGCTTCAGAGAAGCTTCATAAACTAGTCTACGTTCATTACAACTTAAACCTCTGAGAGCGACAAATAAGAAGGAAGCTTGAAGACTATGGGCCGATAGGCTTAGACACAATATTTGTTATAGACACAGCAGAGCAATGGGTAGTAGAAAAGGAGGAGCCAGTGTTGTACAAGAGAGCGTTCCTTGAGGCTATCGGTGAGAAAGATCTTGAAGAAGGTGATGAGCAGCATGAAAGAGGAAGCAGTCAGCCAACGTATCCACAAATCGTCGGAGATGTCGGTGATATTGTACCTAATGAGGGAGAGTGGGAAGGGGGTCTAAGGGAAAATGAGAGAGATGATGATTCCGAGGCCGCCCTATCCCAACCATATTATTCACATATCGAGTCCCAACAGCAGCAAGGTAGGGATGAGCACGACAGTGTAAGTAAGCATGAAGGATGGACAAGCTTCGAGGATTTTGGATTGGGAACACAACAAAACACTAACACTCAAGGATTTGGATATAGTAAGACGTCTGCTAATATCGATGACTTGTTTTTAGATCGAATCAATGAATTGTCAAACTAATTCAATCAATGGCACCAGTGTGACCAAAAAAATGAACGACGTCGTCTGTCATTTTATTTTTAGATCATATGTTACTAATTGTATGTTTTATTGTAGTCCATGTATGTTGATATTCTTATTCCATGATAATTCTATGTTTATCCTTTTGTATGACGTAAATTAAATGGTAAGTAATAGTTCATGCAGGAAAAAAACATATCAATATTCGCATATTCATGCAAAGAAATGAAAATTCTTAATGGAGTACCCTCATTTTTTATTGAATTCCTAAAAACCAATATTTATAATAAATTTTAATAACTTTTTCGAATTTTTTTGAAGCTTTAATCTGACCGATTCACCTGATTCTCGATCCGAATCGCCGATTAGCCGATCCAAATCGGTTTTTGAAGTGCCCAATCCGAGTCAACGATCCGCTTTTTAAACCATGGACCCATCCTAATGAATGGCTTGGGAAGTGGAAGTGGAAGTGGAAGAGGAATGAGAAGATGGAAAACAACCACCGCATTGGCTAATTGCTCTAAGCAGATACATTGACATGGGGGAGAATTGCTACTCGTCCATAGCAAACTAAATACTAATATATATAGGAAAATGATACTGCTGACAGGCCCGCCTATGTCATTGGGGTGATCTGAACAGATGGGATGAACTTTAATGGTTGTGATCCCCCTTGTGTTGATCTCAAACTCAATCTATGCAAATAGCTTGGCGAACTATAAAGCTCTATCTCTCTAACGTCGTGGGACAGCGGGGCCTCTCTCTCAAACAAAAACCCAAATCTCTCTCTAGCGTCATATGGGGCAGCGGGGCCCCTCTCTCTTAAAAAAACCCAAATCTCTCGCTCTTCTGCTGCCCTCTCTGTCTCTCTCTCTCATCTCAGTTTCAAGCCTACCCTCTCTCTCTCTCACGCGTTTGTGCTCTCTACAGCCTGGTCTTACACTCTCTCCCTAAGCATAGAAGACGAAGCAAGACGAGGAGAAAAAGGTACAAATTATCTCTCTCTCTCTCTCTAGAAAATACACCTATGTGTCTTGTAAAAATTGGGGAAATAAAGATGCCAAAGAAATTGATTCGTATTGCTAGTATTCATAGAAATTGATTCGATTGACATGGTGAAGCTGTGCGCCTCTCGAGTTTGTGCCCTCTCTCTCTCTCTCTCTCTCCCTCTCTCAATGGAAATCCATCGGGCATATATTATTGGGAACATCTTTATAATTTTGTTGTTGAATAAACTGTAAGCTTGCAAGGAGGTATTTGGGGCTTTTGATTGTAGTTATTTGGATGAAAATTCTATCCTGTGGCATTAAACTGGTGTGATTTTATTGCTCCCTTTTTTTGGTTATCTGACATGAACATTAATTTATGATATAATTTTAGATACATTTCATTGGATTCCCTGTTCTGGCAATGTTCTCATTCTTGCCATATTGTTTTATGGAGATTCTGAATGCTTCTTGTATGCCTAATGTTTCGATCTTATTTTGTGATTGCTGAAGAAAACCAGCAATTTTCTGTTTTAAAGATATTTGGGATATGCCTTTTGTTGGTTTGTCTTAGGGATATGCCTTTTGATTGTTGAGTCTAGAAGTACTCTGCTAGCTTTTCTACTTTTGATCATTTCTTGTTATATAATTTTGAATTGTATATTTTGGGCTGGTTGTGTTTTGATGTATGTGTTGATTTGTGGGTGCAGTTGGCATACAGACGCCTCCGTAGGTGTAGAGGTAAGGTGCCCTTTAAATTTTATCATGGTATATAATTTTGATGTAAAATATACTTAGGATCATCTCAAAATCTATATTTATATCTAATTATAAAATTTTAAATTTCAAAATTTGTTAAAATCAAGTAAATCTATAAACATATGAAATCTTGAAAATGGACGGTATAGATAATATGTTGTAAAATGCACTATTTCTGAGACTTAAAATCTGTTTATTTTTCATAGTCATACATCTTGATGTTGAGATGATTAATCAAAGGGTTTTCCAACATTAAAACTACTTTTTCCGGTGGATTTTTGAGGGGCATTCGTAGTTCTGCATTATAAGATAGCATCCTTATATATAAACTTTTTCCTTGATTTGTTTGCATCAAGTTGACACCTAATTCTGTACAAATGCAGTGCGCAATATACTTTTAATTCCAGCTGAAGTGTGCATTCAAATGTTAGAAATTGCAACACCATCAATGTTGGTAGAACCAAAAATTTCTATACCAGTTTGTGGTTCTCAGAAGATGCATATTCAGGAGCAGTGGATCTTCCTGGGTTCCATGTTTATGTTGGAAGCGGGGGCGAGAGATTACTTCCTGAATGGTACAGGAAAGGTTGTCACTTCTTGATTTGCTTTTAGCTTTCCATTTTGTTGATGTTAAATTTGAATTGAGAGTCTTATAGAACCCCATGACTGTAACAAACAATTATGTGAGTTACTGAACTCCGTGGATGCCCTAATATTTTATTTCCAATGGGCTCCTGCGGGCATAAAACTCATTCTTGGTACTGAGGTAACCAAAGTAAATACAGCCAAGAAAACTCCTACAACAACAGCTCAAGTTGTCTTCAAATATGAGACTTGGAAAAGAGGTAGGTGCAAATAAGAATGGAAAAGCTGTGGTTGTTGGTGGAGTATACATCGGTCTTGAGCTAGGAGTTGTGCTGGATGTGTGCAACATTTAATGTTGTTCTTATGTGTAGCCAATGGCTGCTTATTTGTACTTGGTTTTTTTAACTTTTGTACTCCTTATGAGGAGCATTTGATAGTCCTACAAGAAGGAATACAAGTTCATGTAATGGCTTGGGTGTATTTTTATTCATTAAATAGAATTAAGCTAAACTTTGATGATTATTTGGTTGTTTTTCATCTTGTGCATTTTGACATATTGTTAAATTTGTGCAATATTTCTTTCTTCATTTTGATGGAGTATCCGTCCACACGCAGATAACTGTATAACTGTATTAAGTTATCGTGACATACCCATTGCAGGTGCTCATATATCAAAATCCTGAGTATTGGGACCAGGAAAGGCTGATCTAAATGGAACTTCGGGGGGAAGAAATGTTTGAAGTCCAAGTTATTACAGATAACCGTAAATCAACAAAGAGATCATCCATCATTAGAGAGGGAGCAAGAAAGATATGAAAAGAATTTAATATCATACATCACCTGGCCATAAGCTACAATAAAAACTGCAACCATGTGATTCCACTATAGCCATGCTTGTGAGTAGTGGAGTTAATGTTTCACATGCACTTTTCGCATGGGCCCTTTCCTAACAGTAGTCTCAAAAAAACAACAAAAAAACAAATCCCACAACCAATTTTCAATTGCAGTGCCTACTCACTGGTATAATGTAAGTTGGGAAAAACCAAAAAAAAGAGCAATCAAATCACACCAGTTTAATGCCACATGATATAATTTTCATCCAAATAATTACAATCAAAAGCCGCAAATACCTCCTTGCAAGCTTACAGTTTATTCAACAACAAAATGATAAAGATGTTCCCAACAATATATGCCCGATGGATTTTTATTGAGAGAGAGATGGCACAAATTCGAGAGGCACACAGCTCCACCATATCAATCAAATCACTTTTTATGAATACTAACAATACAAATCAATTTATTTGGTATCTTTGTTTCCCCAATTTTCACAAGACAGGTATATTTTCCAGAGAGAGAGAGAATTTGTACCTTTTTCTCATCTTCTTGCTTTGTCTTCTATGTTGAGAGAGAGTGTGTGAGACCAGGTTGCAAAGGGCACAAACACACATGAAAGAGAGGCACAAATGTATGAGAGAGAGAGAGGGCAGGCCTGAACCAGAGATGAGAGAGAGGGGGGGCCGGGGCAGCAGAAGAGCGAGAGATTTGGGTGTTTTTTAGAGCAAGAGGCCCTGCAGCCCCATATGACGCCAGAGAGAGATTTGGGTTTTTGTTTTAGAGAGAGGCCCCGCTGCCCAACGACGCTAGAGAGATAGACCTTTATGGTTCGTCAAGCTATTTGCATATGTTGAGTTTGAAATCAAGTAATGAGGGATCACAAACGTTAAAACTCCCAAGGTGATCCCATCCTTTCGACTCACCCCAATGGGCGTCGGCCACCTGTATCATATATATATATATACATATATATATATATATATATATATATATAATACAAAACGCGTATAGGTAAAAATAAATAGCGATTTCGCCTACTTTCGTCACCATTCAAAGTTTATGGTATTGATCAGGATTGTCTGATAGTGTTTTATTTTTTATTTTTTTTTACAAATCAGAATGACTGAAATTTGGAGCATGTGTTCATAAAAAAAAGGCGAATCTACAAAAAAAAATCAAATAAAATATTTTACATGAAAAAAATTAACCAAAAGTTTTGGGGCTATTTTGGTCAAATTTTTTCACAAATTATATTTTTATAAATTTTTATTGGGTGCGCCTCACTAAAATGTACACACATTCTAATTTCAAATCATTCCGATTTGTAAAAAAAAAATGAAAAATGAAACACTACCGGACAATCGTGATTGTACTATAAACTTTGGATGGTTATAAAGTAGGCGAAATCACTATTCATTTTCGCCTATAGGAATTGGGAAGAGTTTTCCTATATATAGATGGGCAATGATTTCATACAACCATTATATAGTACTATAATGCAACAACCTTAGAAAATTATCTTATGGCCATTTGTTTGATTCAAATTAAATATACACTCTTTTCATTTTAATAAACAATCACAAAAAAATAAAATTTGAAAACACAATCTAGAAAGTATTTTTTTAGCTCAATTAACATAAGTTGTTCATTTTGGTGATATTTTTAGATCTAGGCCTTAAAATGATTTTTTTATTTCCAATTTTTTTAGATAGTTTTATTATCATTAGATGAACAATGTTAAAAAAAAAGAAAAAAATGATTTTGAGTATATAAAGGCTAAGATATTGAAACTCACAAAATAGATGGTCTAGATTCGTTTTCAGAGGGGACTCATTTTGACTATATCTAGGGTTCAAATTGAACTTTTTTTTTTTTTTTTTGGTATGGTTTATTGAGATGAAGAGAGTGTGTATACTATGATACAATCGTTGCATTAGATCATTGCTCTATATATGTATGGAAAAGTCTTTTCAACGCCTATTGGTGAAATTGAACATTGATTTCGCCTACCCTCATCACCATCCAAACTTCATCGCACGGTCACAGTAGTCCGGTAATATTTTATTTTTTATTCTTTTTTACTAATCAGAATAATCTGAAATTTGGAGTGTATGTGCATCTTAGTGAGTCGCACTTAATAAAAATATGAAAAATAATAATTCTCAAAATATAAGTTGTCCAAAATATTTTAAGGTATTTTGGTCAATTTATATTTTACGAATTATTTTTTTCATATTTTTATTCGGTGCACGTCACTAATGTGTATACACGCTCCAAATTTCATGTAATTTGGATTTGTAGAGAAAACTGAAATTGAAACACTATCTAATGTGAACGTGCGATGAAGTTTGGATAGTGATGAGGATAGACGAAATCACTGTTCATTTTCGCCTATATGCGTTGTGAAGAGTTTTTCTATATATATATATATATATTAATCTTTAGTTTCCTATGCATTTTCTAAGTTCGTTTGTTGAAGATTTTATTATTTTAGATTTGTTCCGTGTAGTTTTTTATATAGCTTTTCTTTATGCATTTATTATTCTTCTGTAGTGGTGCTTATTTTGGCAGGGCATTAATGTGTTGCACCAGGCCCTAGAGATACAAGAACCATGGCATCCAAAGGCACCTGCCGATGCAATAGGGGCATATGATTTTTTCACCGAGTATATTGCATGTTAAAGCATATGGTGGGGATCGAAACTGAGGAGTCATCATGCTGCGGAGGATGAGAATCAGGAGCAACATGAGGATGAGGATCAGGACGAGGCTCAGGAGCAAGAGCTAGATCAACCAACCCAACCCATTCCCACTGCTGCTCAACCTACATGGCCCTGATTTCGTCTACGACCCTCGAAGTAAACCTAGGCAGATGGATCGTCGCCAACATGCTAAGCCTAAATTTCCAAGTTGGGGTATGATCTTTACTTTGTTCTCAGCGACCTGAACGCCTGAAGAAGTCAAAACAAAACCTCGAAAAACTAGGCAATCAAACATAAAAGAAAGTTTTTGATTGATCTACAAATAAAAATTTGATGATGTGGTGCAACACTAATGTCCAGGATCAAACACTCAAAAATATTATCCAGATCTTCTTTTTTTTTTTCTATTTCCTCTGGATTTAGTACACATTTGGTTTTCCATTTCTTTCTTTAGCTCTTTTTCCTCTTAACTTGCCTCTCTTTCTCTACCTATAAAAAGATTAATTCATTAGGCAGTTCACCCAGCCTATTTTTCATGCTCTTTGGTCTGCCAAATGTCATCCTTAGGCTAAATATTTTTCCTGACTTGCTATGCACAATCGGCTTCCAACTACATATATATTTCAACAGCAAGGTTGTCATATGGCTACTATCTACCCTTTTTACACGAACAATGAGGACAACTTTTGTCGCCTCTTGTTTCATTGCTCTTTTTGCAAGGTGTGTGGCACTCTTTAGCCTGACGGTGTGGTAAGAGATTTATGCTTGCATCTTTAGCCCAAGATATTCATCGTAGTTGGCTAGCCTTCAAATTCAATCATCTGGGTTTTTCAACATCTGGATGGGTATATTCTTCACGATTTCTATGGGAGGAGAGAAATAAAAAGGTTTTTTACATCTAAGCATCAAGGAGAGAGCAAATTGTTATTCGTATTGCTTCACCTGTCAAGGCTCTAACAGAAGTTAGATTAATGGGCCCCCCATTGTCAAAAAAAGGTGATTATTGGCAATCTTCATATTACTCGATGTCTATCAAAAGCAAAAATACCTTATCCGAGTTGCATGGTCACTCCCGAAGGTCCAGTAGTATAAGTTGAATATTGATGGTGCGTCATTACATAATCTTGGTTTGGCAGGTGGTGGTGGGGTCATAAGAAACAACATTGGTGGATTTGTGGCCGCTTTCACTAAACATTTTAGATTTGCTTCTAATAATTATGCAGAATTCTAGGTATTAGAAGAGGGTTTAGCTATGCAAAAGGTTGCTCCCTTTACAGATAGGAAGTGATTCATCTCTATGGTGGATGCTATTCAGAGTGGATGCTATTCAAAGTGGATGCTATTCAGAATCGACGTCGTGGCCCCATGGAGATTACAGATGGTGGCATACAATTGTCATGCCAAGCTCTTGCTCTACATTTGGCATATTGTTGTCTATGATTTTCGAGATGTGAATATGGTAGCTGATGCCCTCACTAAGAGAGGATCGGTCTACTCAGGCGCCACGATTTGATGTAGCCGTCCACTAGACTTTCTCTTTCTTCTTTTATAACATGATTTGACGTAACTGTCCTACTATAGGGTTGTAAACTAATGTATTCTTCTATTTCTATTGATGAAAAATTCGGGTAGGGGGCCTTCTCCCCCACTGACTTTCCAAATTAAAACATAGACCCTTATTTGAAACATATTGGTCTCTCTAATATTATCATATACATTCAAACATGCAATGTAAGCACATATATTGAGGTATAATCAAGAAAGAGAAAAAAGGGAAAGGGGTACAAAACCAAACTAGAGTATTGAGAAAAATACATATGACAAGTATTGAGAAAAATACATATGACAAGTACACAAGAGTCTACTCCAGATTTTGGATATCTAAAGTGGCAAACCATCAAATATCCCAAATCTAAAGTTTTATCTAGACCTACCAGCACTCAAAATGCTCTGGATCCAAAGACCACTTCGAATTTTTACCACTTT